ACCTTTTGAATCTATTTCTCCTATTGATATTGATTCTGATGCTGAAACTATTACAAGTATTAGTAGTTTAGCCCGAAAAAAACGTAAAAATAATACAGTGGCTGATATAATTACCAAATCTCGTAGTAATCGTAGCCATACATCCTATTTTTTTCATTCGGATTTAAATGATCCTTCTGTTGCTTATTGCAAGATATGTGAAGTTAATTTAGCTAATACACATAAAAAGGCATATCCATATAATCGAAAGGGGGGAAATACAACGAATCTTATTAATCATTTACGTGATAAACATAACATTACGAAGGAAAATTACATTGGATTTTTGGATGAGTTTAATGAGGTATTATTTATTATAATTTTATTTTGAAATTTGGCATTTATTAATGTATATTATGCTTAATTTTAAACTTTTTTATTAATAGCCGCGACGTGATCAAAAACAAATCACAGAATATTTAAAGGCAGCAGCTCCATGTTCACAACAACGTCAAGAACTTATCACTCAAAAGCTTGTTACTTTTATTATTAAGCTTATTCAACCATTATATATTTTACAAAATTCTTCTTTTCGCGAATTACTACTTACTTGTGAACCTGGATTTAGAATACCATGTGATAAGACTGTAAAAGCAATAATTTATGAATCTTTTATATGGAGTAAGGATCAACTTAAATTGCTTTTAAGTAATAACATTAATTCTATTCATTTAACTACGGACTTATGGACTGCAAAGTCTCATCAAGGATATCTTGGTATAACAATTACATGGTTAACATCTAATTTTGAATTTCGAGAAGCTCTTTTATCATGCAACCATCTTTCATACCCACATACCGGAGAAGTTATTAGTGCAGAAATAATGGAAGTTTTAAATGATTGGCATTTAATTGACAAAGTATTTACTATTGCAACAGACAATGGGGCTAATATGATTAAAGCTATTCGATTATTAAGAGAACAATATATATTACAAATAGAACGCCAACCTTGTGCCGCTCATACATTACAACTTTCAGTTTTAGAAGGATTAAAGCAATGTAAGTTAGTACATCGTCGGGTAAAATGTTTACAAGCATTTTTTCGTTTACCAAAACAAGCTCAACGACTTCACGAAGCTCAAAAGGTTATGGGACAATTATTAGATGATTATGATAAAAATCCACTTAATGTTTTAACTGATGTTAAAACTAGATGGAATTCAACATATTATGCTTGGAAAAGAATATTAGAATTACATAATTCTATGAGATATGTTTCTACTTCTTTATTAGCAAAATCAGATCGATTATCACAACAAGAAGGAGAGAAATTAGAAAGATTATGTTTATCAATTGATGAAAAACAGTAAGTATAAATATATATTAAATTTTTATTTAAAATTTTTTAAAATTTTTTAAATAATTTTATTTATTAAGGTTTTTGGAAGATATGGTAAAACTTTTATCACCATTTGAAAGAATAACACGTAGAATATGTGGGGCTAAGTATATTACTTTAAGCCTTGTTCATCCTTATATGGAATTATTGAAAAAGGCATTTGCGCCTAAATCTGGAGAAAGTTATAATACATATATTAACCTTATCTATGGATCAATTAATAATAATGAAGATGGATCTGATAGTTCAATAGCAAGTGATGATGATGAAATTCCTTCTGGTGGTTCTCGTCAACACTGGCAATATGCTCATCGTCAATTTCGTAAAAAGATGCAAAAAACTAAAGGAAAAAGAAGTGAATATAATAGACAAACTCAAGAAATTCCTAAAACTACAACAAATAATATAAATATTGATGATATTAATCGCGTTGAATATTTACCAGCTGTTAATGTTAATGGTCTTCTTCAAAAAGTTCGAGCAGCTATTTTTTTATCATTAGATGAATTGTGGTCTATTCCAACAGAATTAGTTTTAATTGCAACTATACTTGATCCGCGATTCAAAAATTTTTATTGGGATGATAGTGGTGAAGAAAAAATTAAGTCTCATGAATTGTTACAACAATTATATGATTCAAAAAAAGCTCTTGAACCTCAACAACATTTTAATGTTCAACAGGCAACTAGTAGTAAATATAATGAGGATGAAGATGATTTTTTTAAAATTTTAGAAAATAAAGAAAATTCATTTGTAGTTGAGGATGAAAATGAAGTTTCGCGTTATATAAAACTTCAGCAAATTGATATTACAGAGGATCCTTTAAAATGGTGGGATGTAAACAAATGCAACTTCTGTATTTTGTCTCAACTTGCTAAAAAATATTTATCAATTCCTGCAACTTCTGTACCTAGCGAAAGATTGTTTTCTGA